CCAACCCAAACAATTCTGTAATTCTATGATTTTTTTCATTTTTCTACTCAATTTCTCTTTCTGTGAAAGCATAGTGATTTTCATCTATGAAAGTGCTGAGTAGGAACAATGTTAATGTTTTGGTTATTATTTCTTCCGTTATGTCATGAAGGAAATCAGAGTTTGGATGTTACTGTGAAACACAATACAGTGTTTATCAGTTGCTTCACCAGCAGTACAGAATGAAGGCGGGTGAAAATGTAAAAATGTGTTTTCCATTAATCTTAGAATTCTACTATTGTCTGTTCATTCAGTTTTCCTAAGAACAATGGACTTTACTTAAAAATTATATGGAATGTACTTTGAAGACTTGGAATGCACTGCATTTTGCATGTTAGTTTCCTTTTTCTTCAAGTTTCTGTCAACCTTTTGAGGGGCTGCCACTGATCATCTACAGATGAAAAATTTTAGCCATGCCAGATATTCTTTTGTAATTCAGGTTTTAAGTTAGCTAGACTGGAGAGCAGGCTGTATGTAAATGCCTTTCCATACTGATTTCTGATGAAATAGTAAGACTTGTTAGCCTTTTTCAGGCCACCTTTGGCTTACTCAGAAATTCCATGAGGGTTCCCTGCAAAACATAACTGTCTTTTCCATGATTTTAAAGAAGGGAAAATGTTTAAACTTTCTTAAATTATTTCAAGTTTACAACTAATGGGTTAACAGAACATCATTAAAATTTGATTTTTACATGTGAATATTTAAAATATATATTGAATCAGATTTTCTTACAGCAAGTCAATTTTTTAAAGTACTGTTGAGATAAATATGCCTGCAGTCTGCAGCTGGTTTTTTTTTTAAGCTGTGTTCTTAATGGAATCCATAATACCTAGAAACCCTTCCCCCACATGTTGTTTGATTTCAAGTATTTTATACCTCCCAATTATTTTTACATAATTTGGAAGCTAACCTTTCAAATATAATGTACAATTACAGAGATTGAATATTCTAGTAATAATTGAATTTTGTTTCAGAGCAAAGTAGAAGAGATGATTTGGAAGCTTTAGGACATATGTTCATGTATTTTCTCAGAGGAAGCCTTCCATGGCAAGGTTTAAAGGTAGTATTTTTTGATGTCTTCCTCTATCCTATTTTCAGATAATAAACTGTTCTTGCTACGGTTTTTTTTTCTTTTTGAAAGTTTTTTGCAAGCTGTGTAAGTCCAGAAGCTTGTTTTTTCTCTTCCATCACAGGCTGATACGTTAAAAGAACGTTACCAGAAAATTGGAGACACGAAACAAGCTACCCCTATAGAAGTATTATGTGAAAACTTCCCAGGTAATGTCTATTGTTAATAAAAATGTTGTTTATTGATGAATGGGACTCTTACTTTCATAGCCTCTCCTTTATCTGGAGTTTGTTTTTTTCTGTATATTTTCTGATTGCTCTGTAAAAATGTAGTATTTCCTTAATTTGTGCAATGGGATGTAGAGAACACTGAAACTCTTCAAGCTCTATTGTCTCTTTGTGGAATTGTTTAATATCTGGTTTTGAAAGTGAATAATGCTTCCAAATACATGTGTTATATACTGTGGTGATAAATAAATTTACCCTTTGAAGCAGCAGTAAGCTAATGCTGGTGTTGTAATGCATCAAAGATTCTTCTAAATGAAACATTAAAAAAAAAATATTATGATACATAGTCTTACAGTGACCAACTAGTTTATCCTTGTATGTTCACGCATAAAGTTTTGCAACGTTTTTCAGCTCATATCTGGCATCGTATGCCTTTTTAAAACAAGCTGCGTTAGAAACAGCTTGAAATACTGTTCAAAAATACTTGCAAGTGATTTCAGGTGTTGCTTCTAGTTCCCCTTAAGTGCATGAAGAATTAGTGGGGTATTTTAGAGAAACAAATATGACATTTTTAAGAAGTTGGAGTAATCAGCTTGGGACAGGTGTCTCACAACGTGGACATGATTTTGCCAAAATAAAAATAAACACCTTGAAAAGTAATCACAGTATCATTTCTCAGCAAATCCATTTTGCCTATCATAGCTCATGACAAACTAATTTGATCTCTTATTATGAAAGGAAATCCTGTCCACAGCAGGTGTTGTGGACAGGGGGCAGATGTTTCTGCTTTTGAATCTTTTTAAATATCCTCACAAGTCATCCTAAAAGCGTAATCGAGAGGCATCTACTGTGGGGAAAAAGAATCTAAAAGAAGTTGGAGTTAAATATGTTGTTGAGAAAATCGAAAGATGACATGGTATTCCACAGAGATCTCTGCTATATTTGTTCAGTATTTTGGGGTGCACTACACAGGTGAGAATGCTTATTGAACTTGCAAATGATAAGTTTGAAATGTGTAGGCTTGACAGTGGGGTTAGGATGAAAGGATCCTGACAGATTTGAAATACAGTATTAAAAATATAAGGTTGTATATAAAGACAGGATCGAATACAAAGTAAGAATTATTGGGAATGGAAAGGTTCCTTAAGTAGACTCGAAGTCACTCAGTCGTAAAGTGAATAGAAGTAAACAGTATCATGCTTCTATGTTTTAAAAAGCAAGCAAACAAAAAACCCTATAGTAAATTGGATTTTTATAAATAGGATATAGCCTGAAAGAGCAGAAATGGCAATTCATGTGTCTAACTGATTCTGTGATGATACTGCTTCAGCAGAAGCTTTAATTCTGGGGACTGTGCTTCCAGAATATGTATCCTATTTTAAGGGTATTTCATAAAGAAGTGGGAGTGCTTACATGCTGTATTTGCTGGACCTGTTACTAAGACTGAAGATCTTTGAAGATAGTACTACTGCTATGGGATAGGTTGGTGTACTAGTTGGCTTTTTAAAGTTCTGTCCAACCCTGTGGTAAAAATTTTCGTTATCAATTCTTTTCTTATGTTTTTCATTTCAGTTTCTGTGACTTAAAAAATCAAGTGAAATTGACTTCTGTTACAGAACATAGAGCAAATGCCTGAATATAGATTTGGGGAATTGACAAAAAACTGAATATGGGTGGGGAAAAACTTTCTGGAGTAGAAATGTACTGCATCCAGTAATGCACGTGTGTCTTGCATGTTTGTTGTGGTTTAATCCCAGCCAGCACCTAAGTACCACTCAGCTGCTCACTCACCTCCTCTCACCTCCCCCCTTCCCCTCCAGTGGAGGAGGAGAATTGGAGTAAAAGACAAACTCATGGATTGAGATAAGAACACTTTTGTAATTAAAAATATAGCATTGGTTTATCAGTAATACTTAAAATACTAATACTGTGTAATAATGTAAAGGAAAACAAATGATAAAACAGCTCATCCCCTGCCAACCAACCAAGAGCCAGAGTGTCTAACCCTGGCCCAGCTCCTGTACTGAATATGATCTTTCATGGAGTGAAATACTCCCTTGGCCCCTCTGGGCCAGCTGACCTGACCATGTCCCCTCCCAGTTTCTTGTTGTAAAGATGCTGGGAACACAGGGGCAGCACCAGAAACCGACTAAGTCCTTGACTTGGTACAAACACTCCTCAGCAACAACTAAAACCACGAATGCTATCAACACACTTCTCCACACAAATCTGAAACCTAGCCTCATATTAGCCCCTGTGAAGAAAACCAACATGCTCCCAACCAAACCCACCACATTCTCCACCCCTTATTTCACAATATTTAAGTCATGCTCAAGTCCCATGCTATTGAATACAGTCTCATTAACCAGCTTCCCCCCTTCCCATCCCATTCTACAGTTCTACACACATATCATTCATTCCTTTAGTCTCTGGATCATCTTGGCAAAATGTCTACAACATGTGCAATAAATTTGTTTAGTCGATGACTTTGGTTTTGATCTGTTTATACTGGTCATTTAGAACTGCAAAAAATGGAGTATGACATGGGATTGTTGGGCACCAAAGCCAGGTGAGCTCACTGCTGCACTTCTTGCAAGACTTGTCCTCAGTAGCTTCAGGTGACTTGTGCTTTAGTAATCCCTATAACAAAAAAAACCCACAAAACAAGGGTTATATAGGGCAATTAAAATCTTGCAATTTAATTAATTGGCTAGTTTCACCCAGAATCAAGTCCCTTTGAGGTAAACAATGGCCTTCCTCATCTTGGTGCATTATCCACAAAGTGTGCCCAGGTCCTTGAGTGAAAGTCCCGTGGATTGGGTTGCCTTTGTCTGAGGCAGGAATAACCCAGACTGATTTTTTCCAACATATTTTTGACATGCACTACAGGGACCTTACCTCCTTCTATAGTACGTAGAAGTTTTGACTGAGCTGGGCCAGCACAGTTGGCAGATCCTCTGGTGTTGACTAACCAGGTGGCCTTTGCCAAATATGTATCCCAATTTTTGAAAGTTCCACCCCCCCATTGCTTTCAGGGTGGTCTTTAACAGCCCATTGCACCGATCGACCTTCCCAGTGGAAGGTGCATGGTAGGGGATGTGATACACCCACTCAATGCCGTGCTCTTTGGCCCAAGTGTCTATGAGGATGTTTTGGAAGTGAGTCCCATTGTCTGATTCAATCCTTTCTGGGGTACCATGTTGCCACAGGACTTGCTTTTCAAGGACCAGGATAGT